TAACTATTTATACCTTAATTCTGATCTAATTTATAAATGTTAAAAAATAATTAATTCCTTACACCTAAGTTTTGATAATGTCGACTGTCAGGAAAACTTTATATTAATAAAAAAAAAAAAACTAACACGTATATACCTACTATTACTCACAAAATAAACAAGATGCACATATAATTATTCATAAAATAAATTTCGTAAACGCCCGTCGTAAGTCGTAAATGGATGAGTACCTATCTAATAACACGTAAAACGTTCAATCGCCTATGCTACGCGTGTTAAATTTCGTTACGGTTTATTTCCTCACCCGTTCCTCTCGCCAAGTTCCGCGATGTTTCATGAGTACGCGCTTGTACCGCGTTCGAATATTATTAAAATAATCTCCGGTTAATTACTCCGTAAATCCCTCTAATAATATTCGCCTTCCTATCCCTTAATATGTTTCTTATTACCTATTTATTTCTCTAAATGGTTTAATTTTCTAACTTACCTATCTAATAACACGTAAAACATTCAATCGCCTATGCTACGTGTGTTAAATTTCGTTACGGTTTATTTCCTCACCCGTTCTGCTCGCCCAGTTCCGCGATGTTCCATGCGTACGCGCTTGTACTGTGTACCTACTAACACACGCTCGTTGCTATAAAACGCATGTATTTTACGTAAATTATTTATGTATCCTATTCAGTATATTTCAAACCATAGTTTTAACTATTTATACCTTAATTCTGATCTAATTTATAAATGTTAAAAAATAATTAATTCCTTACACCTAAGTTTTGATAATGTCGACTGTCAGGAAAACTTTATATTAATAAAAAAAAAAAAACTAACACGTATATACCTACTATTACTCACAAAATAAACAAGATGCACATATAATTATTCATAAAATAAATTTCGTAAACGCCCGTCGTAAGTCGTAAATGGATGAGTACCTATCTAATAACACGTAAAACGTTCAATCGCCTATGCTACGCGTGTTAAATTTCGTTACGGTTTATTTCCTCACCCGTTCCTCTCGCCAAGTTCCGCGATGTTTCATGAGTACGCGCTTGTACCGCGTTCGAATATTATTAAAACAATCTCCGGTTAATTACTCCGTAAATCCCTCTAATAATATTCGCCTTCCTATCCCTTAATATGTTTCTTATTACCTATTTATTTCTCTAAATGGTTTAATTTTCTAACTTACCTATCTAATAACACGTAAAACATTCAATCGCCTATGCTACGTGTGTTAAATTTCGTTACGGTTTATTTCCTCACTCGTTCTGCTCGCCCAGTTCCGCGATGTTTCATGCGTACGCGCTTGTACTGTGTACTTATTAACACACGCTCGTTGCTATAAAACGCATGTATTTTACGTAAATTATTTATGTATCCTATTCAGTATATTTTAAACCATAGTTTTAACTATTTATACCTTAATTCTGATCTAATTTATAAATGTTAAAAAATAATTCATTCCTTACACCTAAGTTTAGATGATGTCGACTGTCAGGAAAACTTTATATTACCTAATAAAAAAAAAAAAAAAAAACTAACACGTATATACTATTACTCACAAAATAAACAACATGCACATATAATTATTCGTAAAATAAATTGCGTAAACGCCCGTCGTAAGTCGTAAATGGATGAGTACCTATCTAATAACACGTAAAACGTTCAATCGCCTATGCTACGCGTGTTAAATTTCGTTACGGTTTATTTCCGCACCCGTTCCTCTCGCCCAGTTCCGCGATGTTTCATGAGTACGCGCTTGTACCGCGTTCGAATATTATTAAAACAATCTCCGGTTAACTACTCCGTAAATCCCTCTAATAATATTCGCCTTCCTATCCCTTATTTTTCATATTACCCATTTATTTCTCTAAATGATTTAATTTTCTAACTTACGCGCTTTAACCATTTATTTTAAACACAAAAAAAATTAACTTCTCATTAATTAGGTACTACCAATTATTCTATCAACTTATTCGTATTAATATTATACTAAATCTTATTCTAATCTATAGCCTTACGGCTAACTTTTATTCCCAATTCTTGACGTCAACTACTTTTAACAAGGTCATCTAGGTACTGCCTTTTAATTCAAAACAAAATCTATTTTCTTCAATATAATATATCAATTAATTTCTTTCAACAATTATCTATCATATACCAACTTATTTCTTTCAACAATTATATATCATTCTATATATCAATTCAAAAATTTAATATTTCACTTAAATCAATTTGTAAGAATGTAAAACACGCGTAGTTTTGTATAATGATATAATGTCTTTTATTCTTACGTGAAATAGTAAAAACAGTTTATTTTATGTTTTACAGTTTTTTTTTTTATTTTATAATTGCTAGTTGAGCTACAAATATTTGATATGTGTATATTTATTGATCATACTGGTGATATAACTCACGTGGGTGCCGTAAGGTTTGTGGACTGAAAGCCTTAAAGTACTGTGAACCAAAACAGCCGACCCTGCTGGTGGTTTTTGGTGGCAGTACAGCAACGGGATGTAGCTATCGGGCGTCGAACCGTCCTCGATGCACCGTGCTTCTTAGGGTGATCCGTTTTCCCGTGACAGCGTGAGTGATGGAGATGTCGACTGTCGAGTGGTGGTTGCTCCGGTGGCGCGTGCGGGTGACGGTTGGAGACAACAGACCGCCGCTGTTTGGCATCGGTAGCTTGGACAGTACGCTGCGTCGGTGCTAGGACGTACCACTACCGATTCCGCCCAGAGGGTGTTGTGGGGAAGCCCTTTCGGGCGCTTTAGGTGTGAGTAGCTTGAACAGTGCGCTGCCAGGGCGTACAACTACTCACACTGTCTAGGTAGGGAGAGGGGTATGGAATGGAGTTCCTTTAACGTTACAATTGAAAAAAATGTGGGCAAATGGTTGTCGCTCTGCTGTACTACTGTAAGTTACAAGTGGGTCACTATATAATATACTATAATGGATGATATTAAATTTGAATTCAACGATATAATATCATTGTATAAGAAAAACGATTCTGAGCGGAGACGGTATGTCAGTTTAGGTTTAAGACATAATATAAACATATCTACGGTATTAAACTAAAATTTGACCTATAATAGGTACCTATAATAAATTCCAAATTAAACATATAACAATATCCATTATTTACTTATAACGCTTTATACATCAACAAAAACCGTGATACTAGCATAGATATATAATAGTACACTTTAAAAGTTTCAAGTACCCACGAATACGAATAATATTATTCAATCACAACAAAATAACTAAAATAGTTATTCTAGGTTTTTAATATGTAATTCGTCCAAATTTGATATTAAAATGTCTGTAAAAAATAACTGTGTTCATATATTTTTTAAATTTTTTGGTTACAGTATGAAATATTTATGAGAACCTTTGTTTTAATTTGAAATCCTTATCTATAAAAACTGAACATTTTATTATTTATTAATTACAATGATTGATCATTTTCAAGATTTTGATACATTTTGTCAAAATTCGATCTTTAAATGCTTATAAAAAAAACTATGCCAATGTATTTTAATATTTTTCAATTGCTATTGTAACAGTATATCAGGAGCCTTGTATTCAATTTTTACACTTTTTGGCCCAACAGATTAAACTTTATTGATATTCATAGAAAAAAAAACTAAAGAAAATTGAAAGATGTAAATTTCCGTAAACAGCTCAACAAGAGTCAAAATATTTTCAAAATTGTATGGTGTATAGGAAATACTAATATAAGCATTCAGTACAATTTTCATGTATCTACAGTTATTCGTTTTTGAATTACAACAAAATAAGGACATCGCTACATGAGAAATCGAGTGAATATCCAATGTTGTAAAAATTTGAATTTCAAAAGCTCATAAAAACTTAATTTGACTTTCTTTGGACATTTTTTTTTTTTTGATAAAAGTGGATAATCTTATAAGGAATCTTGTATTACATTTTCAAATTTTAGATTTAAAAAGAAAAATTTTTAGGAATTCTTAACTCTTCTTAACTATAGATACTAATTGTACTAGCTACTAATTGTTTGAGATTTAGGGATTCGGCTTCCATAATTCATGAGGTCCGGATGCTATAAGCAATTTTTAGTGTACCTAAACGTATTGTGGTAGGATTTTTCTTGGTTGTCTTTAAACCGAGAGCAATGAATGCGGCCCATGATATTCAAATGGTGTTAACGGTTCATGCCTGTACACATCCACTGTACTTTGTACTCTGTACTTTTGTTGTGATCGGCGCCATCTTATTTGACATTTTTTCAATAAAGGAAATGTAATTTTACCGAGAGCTCGTGGCCTCCATAGAATATCGGAGAGAGTACGATTAGTTGGTATACCTACTGTTGATAATTTCGTAGCTAATTAAAAAAAATATTTAAAAAAGCATCATCACATTTTTTTAAATATTACCCACCGTATATCCTTTTACCTCCAGAACCAACATTAATCGGTTGTTGGTGTACCTTTAAAATGGATTAATACTTTACTTTGTTATTTTAAATAATATGAACAAATCGCTGTGATATTGTAAATATGTTGGACTACAACAATATTTATTAAGTATTGAAGTATAAAAAAAAAAGTTTATTTCTATTTAAGTACACATTATATCCAGAAATAAGTGCATATTATACTGCGGATAATAATTATAATTATAAACTATACATGCATGTACTAATTTTTATACTAAAAAGTTTTCCTATAATATTATTATTGTATACTTATTAGTTACTTAGAACTATTCTGCCATATAGATAAAATGTATAGGTAAACCTGAATCGGCTGAGTCCAGTTCTCAATAAATACAATTATTTTGATGCAGGAATATTGTTATATTGATAATAATAATTAAAAGTTTTAAGATATGAGGTACAAATTATTTTGCTACCCTTTATTTATAAATGATTTATTCCTTAAATCTCAAAACTTTAAATTATTATATCAATTTTTCAACTGACTGTACAAGCCCACGATATTTTTTGCTGGGATATGCACCTTGATGGCCACGGGAGGACGGTATCGACCGACGTAGTAAGATGCGTTCTGGAGGAGCTCACTGCGTCGCCGGGACATGGCGAATGCAGAATTGTCGATCCCACTACACCACCACCGGCATTTGTACCCAAGCCATCACCCGTTCACGCACCACCCCCATTACAACAGAGAGGTCTGCATGGGCGTGGCGTCCATGTTCATGAGGGACGGAGTACCGCCAAACATCACAGTTTAAGAAACAACGGCCCACCTTTTAGCTATAAGGAATATGGGTGGGTGCACAATTGTTGCGGGAGATCCAGGAGAATAGGCGACACCGTAGATGTATGGGAAGAGGGGACATAATAAGGTGGGACCATTTTCTTCAATGCAGTAAGAGCACACTATATAGGCGTAACAATACAGAGTAAATGGAAAAAATAATATATAATGAATATGCTCTCTCTCTCTCTCTTTCTCTCTCTCGATACAGTAATATTATGAAGACATCACGTCCAGTCGGCGGGCGGTCGACCTGTTTTTATGAGTAACCGCCGACGCACTAAAAACCGATGAACAGATTCAAAACTGTAACATATGTTTGTATAGAAAAAGAAGATGGTAGTATTGTTTAATAATATTATTATATAAATTCTAATTGCATGCTTTATTATAATATGTAGGTTAATGGTAGTTATGGTGGCACGAGAATAACTAAAATACGCAATAGAAGAGTCTGAGAATCAAACAAGTGTTTTCTACGAAAATTGTGTAGACGTAAGAATTATAGGAGTACAATGGTAAATGGTTACCTATGTCCCATTAGAAAACTACGATAAAAGGCATGATCAATTCTTTAGCGAAAATAACACAATGACTAACCAATATAAGGAAAAATTAACAGAAAACGAAATATGTTCAAAATTTAACTATAAAATTAAAACAATGTTTCAAGAAATTTCTATACAGAGGGAACAAATGTATGAGTTAATAGGTAGATATACTACAGAAACCGAGAAAAAATATAGCACAAAACAAAAAAGAGGGGTAATTAATATTATTAATATTATAATATTAATATTATAGGTTCAGCAATGAGAACACTTACCTACCTCTATTACGAATCTTTTAATTCTATTTCATGTATTAGATGCTAAAGTTAAATGTCTTATTCATTTTTAACCACAAAATAATTAACATATTTTCATTATTAATAAAAACGAAAATAATTAGATAGTCCATTATTAATTTAAATTATTCAACTAATTTTTTTTTTTTTTTTGAATAGGTACCATACATTTTATAACTTAACGTATTTTAACTTTTTATCAATAATAAATACCTATATGATTTATCAACCTCATATGTAAGCAATAAAACTTGTGTTGGAGGTTGAGAGTTATAATATTTAATAATAATATATGTGGATAAATTTAGATTGAGTAATGTAAAAGATATGACATCAACTACATATTAATTAAAAATAAAATCCTAAAAGTACAAAAAACGTTTTAGGTATTACTTAATAACTAAAACACAGACATACATGATAGAACATAATATAAGTTAGCTGCTATAAGAGTGAATAATATGAAGACTAGACATATAGTTACAATACAGATGTAATACATATAAATTAAAAAAAAATTTAAAATATAAATTAAATTTAAACAAATTTAAATAGGTATCTCATCCCTCAAACATTTAAAAGTATTTTATTCAGATATGATAATTAACATTTTTAGTGGAATTTGTTCTTAGATATTTTTTTATCATTTAGATTTAGTGAATTGAACGCTTTAGGTCCTAAATAATCCATGAATTTCTGGCCTATACTTTTTTTGGGGTAATTTATTTTAAAATCGTAGGCAATTGGCATCTGCTCAGCTTTGGTACGCGCTCTGGTGGATTATATATTAACGACTCCAACGAGGTAACCGCGCAGCGCATGGTGCCTACTCCCATTCTCCAAGACTATTTAAACTATAATAGTGAATATTGAACTGTGAACTATAAATAGATGTTCATTTATTTTTGTTATACTTTTTTCAATTCATTATCAATGATAAACAAATTCGTATCATAATATATCATAAAAATATAATGTCAAAGTTTAATACAACATTTTAAATTGTATTTATTTCTGAATCTATGAAATAATTTAGTTTTTATAATGGATAGGATATGTTTAAATGCAATTTATACATTTTGTGATGGTACTCCTACTACTAGGAATATGGTAGAAGGAGAGAATATTTTAAACTCTGGCCATTTTATACATTGTGGATATACTTTTAAGAACCGGGAACTTTTAAACATATTTTCAATGTGTCTTCAAACATCAGCCCTCAGAGAAAAACCACACGAAATACAAGGAGTTTTAAATTTCAAAAACAATAGAAATTGGGTTATATCTGAAATGAAATGTTCTTGTAAAGCTGGAGACAGTCAAAAATGTAAACACTGTGTTGCTACATTACTTTATTTAAACAGGTAAGAATTTAAAAACAATAAAATTGTAAAAAAAATATTGATTAATTCGATTTAACTGGTTTAGAACTGGTATAAATGCATTAGAAGCTATTTCACAAACTGACTTGCAATGCACATGGAATCAACATAAACCAGCATTGCAACTTTATGCCCCTAAACCTTTAATAGAACACACACATTTTAAAACAAATACTCCATATAGTAAAATAATACCAACACAGGAAAATATTTCTAAAATACAACAGATTCTTTTGAACAGAAATAAAACCTCAGCTTTGTTTCTTCATAGGTATGTTATTTAGTTGTCATGAATATTTTTAATAATTTTTAATCATCCAGATTTATATGAGTTAAAATAATTTTAATTTGGTATTAAATCTATGTATTTAAGTACCTACTTACCTACATAAATTATTTGTTTTACAATTCATTTTAATTAGGTAGCTACTAGTTCAACTGCTATTTCATTATCTTTATAAATTTAATATTTATATATGTAATCATTTTTGTTTTTAGTGTTGGAAGGCATTCATTATACATTAATAATCAGATAAAAAAAATGAATAGTGTTATTACATCAGACTTCAAAAAAAGTTTAAGCTTAATACTAAATCGTTCACATTATGATAAATATATTGATTTTACTTATGGTCCTTTAAGATATTTCTGTCATCAAGAATATAATAGTATTAGCTGTGTTGATGTGATGGAAATTTGTTATAAGAGTAGTTTATCTAGATGTGTATGGGATAATGAAAGAAAATTCAGAATAACAGGCTCACGGTGCTATGCTTTATACACTTACACACTTAATAATAACCCAGATTGGAGTAAAAAATGTTTAAAGTATTTTAATAATCACTATTTTTCAAATAAATATGTTGAACATGGCATTATCAATGAACCTAGAGCAAAGAAATTATACTCTAGTGTAAATTTGGAATGTACCATTTTCGAACCAGGGTTAATAAATTGCAAAGACAATCATTGGTTAGGGTATTCAGCTGATGGTGTAGTATTTGAGGAAGGAAAGCCAATAAAACTTTTAGAAATCAAATGTCCTTATAATGGAAAAACAAATACAATAAAAAATGTAATTCTTACCTGTAAGTATTTAACTAAAATCAATGGAATGTACTCATTAAAACAAAAACATGCATATTATGGCCAAGTACAACTTGGAATGTTTTTACTCAACCTGGATTGGCTGGATACAACTGATTTTTGTTTGTATTCATCATATGATGACAGCATGTTCATTATACAAGTTATAATAAACAAATGATTATTATAATTATTTTATACTTCGATCATACGATCTAAGATTTTATACCCAAGTATAATCGTGATCGTAATTAGTCGTGATAGTTTGCTCATTGCTGGTCACCGTCGTCGTCGTCGCCGACGCGACGGTTACCTCGTTGCTCATAAGCCACGCCCATCTCGAAAATCGCGAATAGTTTCTCGTTTTTTAGTGATATTTTACATCAGTGGAAGTTTTTTAAGATAAAGCTAATAGTTAATTTATTGTATAACTGACCTATAGGTATAACACCAAGTTCTAAGTAGGTTTGTTTGAAGATCCAGTTTTATTTGTTTTATATAGACAGATACGAATGGCTTTATTTTACTGCGTGATCAATGGTCTTAGTACATTGTCCGAAGCTCCCCCCCCCCCATACTGTTATTCCATATTGGCAAATCGATTGATATAAAGACATGTATTCTCATGGTATCATTGGAGATAAAATGTCGTATATTATAAAGTTTGAATATGATGGTCCTTAATAGCGTTGTAATGTTTAGTATATGTATATGCCATCTTATATTATAATGGAAAGTCAGACCTAAATATCTTACTTTTGTGACTCTATTTATTTTGGAGTACCTATGTTGGGTTATCTGTATTATTATCGTTATTAGATACTATTAATTCTTGAAAAGTGAAGCTTGAAAAGAAGAAAACTGTTTTTTGATAGTTTATAGTTATTTTTACTGAGTTTAAAAACAAATTAAGCGGTTTGTTTCCGTAATTGATTTATTATGGTCTAGGTCACAAGAATCATCAGAAAAAATTAAGCATGTATCATCCACATATTTAGTTATACACCCATAAATTTGCATGTTGCATATACTATTTATGTACATTATGAATAGAACCAGGCCAAGAACACTCCCTCGAGGTACACCACAATTTAGTGTTGTCTTATTTCATATATTATCATTTATCTTAACCATCTGGGTTATGTTATTTAAATAGATTGCAAACCATTTATAACTATTTTTTATGATACCAAAACTAGGTATCATTTTTAATAATTTAATATGGTCAACCGTATCAAAGGCCTTTGAAAAATCTAGGAAAACTGCAATAGATTTTTTGCTATTCATATATAAGATTAGTTACCTTATATAATGCGTCTGTTGCTCCTAGACCTGGCCTAAAACCGTACCGATTTTTAGAGAGCAGTTTATTGCTTTCTAAAAACGTAATTAGTCTTGATTTAATTATTTTATCAAGAACTTTTCCAAAATTGGTGATTAACGTTATCGGCCTATAGTTATTTAAAACTTGTCCATCTCCGTTTTTAAAAATTGGTTTTACAATAACTATTTTAAACTGTGTTTTGACTATACCTTCATTTATGCTTTTATTATATATGTATATTAATGGATTAAATATGGGAATTGCTATATGTTTTATTAGCTTTACTCATATGTTGTCATGACCTGTAGCTGTGTCATCATTTAGATTATTTATTAATTGCCTAACTTCAATTTTGTTAACAGGTTAATTGAAGACAATGTCAAAATTTCTTTTGAAAGTTTACTGTATTTCTGTGTTTTCAATATTATTACATTTTTTGGATAAT